CTCTGGCAACTACAAAACAAAACATGTTTAGGAAAATAAGGCGAGTGGCCCGATGCAGGGAGATCTGCAAGCTGCAGATTGGGGAACGGATTTGAGTGTGGTACGCAGTGAGTGCTCGCTTTTGTGATGTGTTTATAGAGTGATGAGATGAGTTCAAGCCACGGAGCTGGAACTTGAACCGCGGTCGGCTACATGGGAGTCCAGCAACATAGCCATTACGCCAACTTCTGGTCCCAAGTCTTGTATCTTAGCATGTTTTTTCTGCCAGGGCTTGCCTGGGGTGCAACTGTTAAATGCTGTCCATTGGGAGGCAGATCCCACATGGCCAACCACAGTTCAAGTCCCAGCCCCTGTGGCCTGCACAGAAAACAAAGGTTTCTTGAAACAGTTGATGGATAGGGTTAAAAATGGGCCCTGGCCCTGGCCAGGAAGGTGGGAATGGAGGGGGGGGGGCAGAAAGGAGAGACCTCAGAGGGAAGGGACTGACCAGGGTTGAGCCATGATGCTCAGGGACCCACGGCCACAGGCACACTGATGACATCCCCTCCGAGCGAGCACCAGGTGTCACAGATGGGCTGGTTGTCACAAATGGTCAGCAGCTGTCTGGCACAACTGCCCACTAACGTGCATCTCTACTGGACACACGGGAGTTCCTCCTTCCCCACCTCCCAGGCACCCCCAACAAAGGTTCTGAGTTCTAGAAACAGCCAGAACATGCGAGTGGTTACGCGTGAAACGCTGTCCTGCATCTTTCTGTCTCAAAGGTAGCAGCTGTCCTTTCCCCTACCCCCCACACTCCCTAAACGATTGCTGTGCCAAGATGAAGAGGAGGCCCCAGGCTGCGGGGGGCTCCTGGCCATGAGGAGCTGCTGCAGCGGTGCCAGGGCAAAAGGCATGTGAGACATGGCAGAGATTCCGGCAGTGTGGCCAGGTCCCTGGCATCTCCTCCACGGCTGCACTTACTTATTCAGGGAGAGCGGCTGCATCGGTTTTCCTGACAAAGCCGCGTCATCCTTCGCTTCCCACTCTCTCCCCTTTTCCTTGCCTCTCCCGCTGTTCCCGGATGATTGCCAGCCAGGCAAGGTTGGCCTTGGCTTGCTCTGTTTTCCCAGCTAAATGCATTTCCGTGGAATGCTCTTTCGCTTTCTGCTTCTTGGTTCTTTCTCGTTCTCTTCTTGAAAGCTCCTTTGGCCCATCCAAGTCCAGTTGTGTACAGTTCTGGCTGTCTGTGCCACCCGGTTGGGGTTGTCGATGTCGATGCCCCCTTCCAGCCTTTGCGCTTTTGCTGGTAGTCATCTTCTTCACCCTCACTCTCCTCAGAGTCTAGAGATTTCTTTTTTGGGGGGTCACCTGCAGCCCCATCTCCACCTTCTTGTTCCTCTTCTTCCTGGCTTTCTGCTCTTCGACCTGGAGCTGTGCGTCGACTCTGCAGGGCTCATGTCCTGCCTTGCCTGGCCTTTGTGACCTCCCTTTCTCCCTCCTTTAGTCATCATGGCTCCGGCCTTCTTGCCCAAGTTGATATCCCCTTCTCCCCTTCTCCTGGTACGTGCTTCTTATGGCTTCGTTCTGGCCAGGGTCACGAAGTACCATCCGTTCTGCGTGATGGGCTTGCCCATTGGTAGGCCTTTCAGACTGGGTCCTCTTAGAGTCTTTACTCGAGAGTCTTCGCACGGGAAGCTAAGTGGGAGAGTCTTCTGTTCTTCAAAGGTGAAACTGGATGTGTAAAAGTGGAGCGTCCTGAACCTGGGGTGTCCCAGTTTACCTCCTGTCCCTGAAAATTACCCACAGAGAAAGCAATTTGTAATAGGCTAGAACAAAATTTTCTTTCCTTTTTTTTTTTTTTAAAGAATTATTCATTTAATTTAATTTTATTTATTCATTCATGTATATTAATTTTGACCAGAGAAAGAGAGGCAGGACATGAGAAAGCAAGCCACCAGGTCCGGGACTTGAACAGTGATCGGCCATGTGGGAGCACCCAGCACCTTAACCACCACGCCACCTGCCGTTCCCAACAAAACTTGCAATGAGAGGACTGGCAGCCGTACCAGGAGAGAGTCCTGGTGGTAATGGAGTCCGCATCTTTGGGTCTGTAGACAGCCACTTATCATCTGTGAGCTATCTTTTTGTTTGGAGCTGGTTCCAGTTGGGTTTTTCACTTGGCACAAGAATATGTCCTTAAATAATCTACATTAAAAAGATTATTCCTTTTTATATATATCTAGGTGAAGACGGAGCTGGAAAAACAAGCTTAATAAGAAAAATTCAGGGAATAGAAGAGTACAAGAAAGGAAGAGGATTGGAATATTTGTACCTAAACGTGCATGATGAAGACAGGGATGGTGAGTCATTGGCTTGTAGCGTAAGTTTCTGAACTCTCCTCCCAGGTGTCCTGTCGCTCACGTTAGTCTTTGCCCTTTTGTGGTGTGTCATTTCCTACTAGAAATCCTGTGAGGTCATGCTGGCCATCAGGTAGTTATGCCTGGGCATACTTTTTTGGACTGGGGATTGGGATTCATGTAGTGGTATTTTGAAGTGTTTGAGGGTATTCTGGTTTGTAGACGTTAGGCTTCTGCCACCCTTGAAGAATCTCAATTTGTCAATTCATCCTCCCACACATAGTAATTACTTTACTGGCTCCCTTTTCACTTCTCATTTTCGGATAAAAATTTCACATACTCCCCAGCCTTTCCAGCTAATCAGCCAGTTTTTCTTCTATAGATAACTAGCCGTTGCATTTGTGAATATATCTTGAGTATACGTGGCTGTGTCTGCTGACGGTAAAAATACCATGGTGTTACACAATCTCTGGTTACAGATTAAGCATGCAAAGTACAGGATGCTGGTGCTCTGGTTGGCAGTTACGTCACGGTAGGCCTTTACTAAGTTTAGGAGATGTTACCTAAACAGTTGAACTTGATCAGAGCCCAGAGATGCCCCCAAATACCAAGTAGTGTTGTTAGCTGGGTGATGGCACGACTTTGTTTTGTCCGTAGATCAAACGAGATGTAACGTGTGGATCTTAGACGGGGACTTGTACCACAAAGGCCTCCTGAAGTTCTCACTGGATGGCGTTTCTCTGAAGGACACCCTCATCACGCTGGTGGTCGACATGTCGAAGCCTTGGACTGCTCTGGATTCTCTACAGAAGTGGGCAAGTGTTGTTCGAGAACACATCGACAAACTGAAAATTCCTCCCGAAGAAATGAAAGAAATGGAACAAAAGCGTGAGTCGTCTAGAAATATTAGCATAGGTTCCAAATGCAAAATGTCCTAGCTGACTCTAACCATTGAAATTTTTGATTAGTTGTTTTTTATTTTTTTGAGAGGTTTTTGCTATAGGGTACGTGCGCTTGTCAGAGAGAGAGACAGAGAGACAGAAAGCGAGAAATCACCCCCCAGGGAGATAGCCATGCCGCAGTGCCTTCTTCTCTATTCTCCTCTCGGGATCTTGGGCATGCACAGATGTGCCTGGCGTGAGTTTAAGCCACCAGGTCCGGGACTCGAACTGCGGTCGGCTACATGGGAGTCCAGGGACACAGCCATTATGCTTACTGCTGGTCCCATACCATTTTAATCCTATGCTGTGGATACTCTGTTTCCAGATTTGTTGTTTTGTTTTTAAATATGAAAAACAGTTACATCACTGATTGTACCTTTGAGAGTTCCTAGAAAATAATCACTGAGTCAAAGTATATACAATGAAGGCTTTTTTTTCATTCATTTACTTTTTTTTGTGCTGGAGAGAGAGATTTTGATGTAGGGCACATGCACTCACCAGAGAGACAGCGTCAGGAAGTGAGAAATCCCCTCCTGGAGAATGGCCATGCCACAGTCCCTTCTCCTCCATTCTTCTCTTAGGATCTTGGGTACTCATGCACACGTGCCTGGTGTGAGTTTTAAGCCTCTGGGTCTGGAATTCAGACCATGGTTGACCACGTGGGAGTCCAGCGACATAATTTGGTCCCTACTTTTCATTGTTTTAAATTCATGAGGGGTACAGTATCACAGGGCTTCTATGTCCAATGGCCTTAGCAGGAAGGTTGCTTCGGAATTTGGCTCAGACCGTGCCAATGTTGCCATGGGCACGGGTCACCTTTCTCCAGATGACTCGGTTTTACGTGGTTTGCCAGCAGGAGTCCCTGTGTTGTGCTTTGCTCTGTACACATAAGCACACCTCCTGCCTAAACAGATTTAGGTGCAGGAACACCTTCAGTTCTAAGAAGAGCTGCGTCCTCTCTTTGGTTCCTGAGACCCTGTTTATAGCCAGAAAAATGACCCCAGACCACAGCCTTCCAGACACAGTCGCCTTGTTGAAGCCCTGTTCCCAGCAGGCCTCGGGTATTTGCCCCAAAGTTCAGCAGCAGGAACCTCACTCGCCTCCCACTACTAAGGCTTAGCAGCAGGAACCTCACTCGCCTCCCACTACTCACCTCACACTACTTCATATGTTCATACTGACCTTCTTTTTAAGTGATGACTTCTAATAATGTATCTGTTTTGCTAATATGACATTAGTTTTTGCCAGGGTTACAAATGAATGTGGCCCAACATTGAGCCTAGGTGGAAAGGAGAGGTCCTGAGTAAAGGGTTTAGAGAAAGGCATTTAATATTAGCATTAATACTAAAAAGTCATCTGTAACTGTGGAATTTTTTTCCTCAATTTTTTTTTTTTTTGGAGAGGTCTTTGCTATAGGGTGCATGTGCTCGCCAGAAAGACAGAGACAGAGAGACAGAAAGCGAGAAATCACCCCCCCAGGGGGGATGGCCACGCCACAATCCCTTCTCCTCCATTCTTCTCTTGGGATCTCGGGCACACATGCGCATACGCCTGGTGTGAATATAAGCCACCAGGTCCGGGACTAGAACCACGGTCGACTACATGGGATTCCAGTGACATAGCCATTATGACAATTACTGGTCCTCAAATGTATTTATTTTTTATCCTTTCAGTGCCTTCATGGATTAGAGAAGGCACGTGGGCAGAGCTAGAGTGTGACTCGTCCAGAGTGTTTTGCTCACACTGAACCAGACCCAGATAGGGCTCACTCTTGGGAGCCGTCCAGTGCAGTATTCTGTTCTGTGTGTGGTTGTTACTGTGTGTGTGGGGGGGTGCCACAAGAAGAAGTATAAACTAGTAAAATACGCACTCAGAATACGGCAGAAAAAGCTACCTGCGGGGCCGCCAGGCAGCATGATGGGTAAGGCACTGGATCCTACATGGCCAACGCTGCGGTTTGTGCCCCGGACCCAGTGGCTTGAAAAACATTCTGGGAGTGTGTGTACACACCCAAAATCTCAAGAAGAGGATAGAGAAAGGACTGTGGCGTGGCCTTCCCCTCAGGGGGTGATTTCTCACTGTCCATCTTTCTGTCTCTCTTTCTGCTAGTGCATGTGCCCCATGGCAAAACCTAAAAAAACAAAAAGACAAAGCTATCTTTTGGGGCTGGCAGGTGGCGTGGTAGTTGAGGGCCTGAGGGCACTGGACTCCCACACGGCCGACCATGGTTTGAGTCCCAGATCTGGTGGCCTGCTTTCTTGCTTTCCTCCCTCTCTCTTTCTCTCTCTCTCTCTCAAATTAAAAAAAAAAAATTATAATGAATAAAGTTAAATAAAAAATAATTCTTAGGGACCAGCAGTTGGTGTAGTGGCTATGTCACTGGACTCCCATGTAGTCGACCGTGGTTTGAGTCCTGGACTCAGTGACTTAAACTCACACCGGGTGCGTGTGTGTGCGTGCCCAAGTGTGTGTGTGCCCATAATCCCAAGAAGAGAATGGAGACAGGATTGTGGTGTGGCCATCCCCACTTCGGGTAATTTCTCACTGCCCCTCTCATTTTCTGTCTCTCTCCAGCAAGTGCACATGCCCTATGTCAAAAAAAAAAAAATCTTAAAAAAAAAAATAAATAAAAGCTGCCTGTTGAGATAAAGCAACTTCTAAATGGTGCTTACTTTGACTTTCAGTGATTAGAGACTTCCAAGAGTATGTGGAGCCAGGAGACGACTTCCCAGCCTCGCCTCAGAGAAGGAGTACCACGTCGCAGGAAGACAGAGACGACAGTGTAGTTTTACCTCTGGGTGCAGACACCCTCACCCACAACTTGGGCATTCCGGTACTAGTAGTTTGCACAAAGGTTAGTGTGCTTCCTAGAGTCCCGCTGCTGGTATTACTGACGGTGAACAAGTCTTGTTTTCCAGACATGTTTGGAGTTAAACACATCAGTGTTTGTAGGTAATTTTTGTTAACAAGTAGAAATAATAGTTTAAAATATTGATGGATATTCACATGTTACTTTTGTGATTTTTTTTAAAGAATTATTTTAACATTATTTATTTAAATTTGACAGTGCAGCTTCTTTTTTTTTTTTTAAGTGAGTTTTTTTGTTTATTTGGTTTGTTTTGAGAGATTTTTGCTATAGGGTGCCTATGGTCACCTGAAAGACAGAGAGACAAAAGCGAAAAATCACCCCCCAGGGAGATGGCCACTCTGCCTTCCCTTCTCCTCCATTCCCGGGGAGTTTGGGCACGCATGGATGTACGTGCTCAATGTGAGCCACTGATCTGGGACTAGGACTGCAGTCACCATGTGGGAGTCCAACGATGTAACCATGACGCCATCTGCTGGTCCCAGTAGCGCAGCATTTAAGATAATGAAGTGACGGCTAGCCATGTGGCTTAGTGAGTAGAGGAGCCAGCATCCACCTAGCTGATCCTCCGGTGTGAATCCCAGCCCCTGCAGCTTGAGAAACACTGGGCGTGTGTACAGACGCATTCAGGGTCTTGACAGGATAGAGAAATAGAGGAGAAGGAATTGTTATGTGAGCACCCTCATCAGAGTGGACTCTCCCTCTCCATCTCTCTGTCTGTCTCTGGCAAGTGCATGCACCCTTTGACAAAAAGTGTTTTTAAAAAATTTGAGGGCCAGCCAAGTTGCATGGTGGTTAAGGCAGCTGGATCTCACATAGCCAACTACACAGTTCGAGTCCCACACCCAGTGGCTTGAAAATTACACCAGGTGCGTATGCATGCATGCCCCAGCTCCCAACAGGAGAATGGAGGAGAAAGGATTGCTGTGTGGCCATCCACCTGGAGGGTGCTTTCTCACCTTTTCTCCTCTGCCCCATCCTGCCGCGTGCATTCACCCTATAGCAAAACTTTAAAATTCATTACTTAGTTAACTAAAATGTAAGTGGAAATCTCCTGTCTGCTTTTCAAATGTGTAGTTAATTGTTATAAAACATATTTTTAAAGGTTTGCGTTTTGATCCCCGTGTGGTTTGTTTTTGTTTGGTTTTGATTGGCAAAGAGCTGTTCATTGGCAGAAGCCTCCATGTTTTATACCACAACTTGCCTCGTGAAAAAGCAGTGTTACTTTCAGAATCAAATGAGTCATAGATTAATACCATTTCCAAGTTGGAAGAAAGATCATCTTTGTATTTCATAACTCTGAGCCACATCAGCTGGACTTGGTGCACGAGCTTTTCCGTGTGCGGGGCGTGGGCCTCTCCCCAGGGGAGAATTGTGGGGGCTCAGCACCGTCCGTTGGAGACGGGTGGTGGGGGCTCAGGAAGACTAAGTTTCTTCCTTAGGTCAGGATGCCGATTTCAGTTTTGGTTAAACTAATGGTTTAAAGTTAAAACTAGGAGAAAAGGATTGCAGTGTGGCCATCCCCCCGGGGGGTGATTTCTCGCTTTCTGTCTGTCTCTCTCTGTCTTTCTAGCAAGTGCACATGCCCTATAGCAAAACCCTCTCAAAAAAAAAAAAAAAACAACTTTGTTCTGGTGTGTCGCTAATAGTATGACCACTTAGTATAAGCTTAACTTGGTATTCTTTTTTATTTTTTTGGAGAGGTTTTTCGCTATAGGGCGTGTGCGCTCACCCGAAAGACAGACAGGACTCGAACTGCTGTCGACTACATGGGAGTCCAGTGACATAGCCATTACGCTAACTGCTGGTCCCTTGGTATTCTTCATTAAAACTTTCTCTATGGGTTTTCACCAGATTCGCTATAACATAGAAGTCAGTGCTTTTTAAGGAACTAAGAGTTATTATTAGTTAGTCTTAACACTCTAACTGAAAACCTTTAGACTAGGTGGTAGTCTGGGTCCTCGCGTTCATTCCCTAC